CCTTTTTTATTTTAGTAAAGATTTTACGTACTTTGTTTTTTTTACTTATCGGATGTTATGGGATTTTTTTTGTTAAACCAATTTTATGGAATATAATACAAATACAATTAGTGGATTGAACAAAATCAGAACAAATTTTCATACAATTAGATAATAAAAAGGAATTGGATAAGGAAAATAAGGAAATAGATAAGAAAAAGAAGGAATTAGATAAAAAAATTTTGAATCTGACTTTTTTTAAGTATAGATAGACTTTATGTATAAATTTTGACTTCACTGATTTTATGGAATTTGTTTTGACAAAATCGATGTTAATATGGAATAAGACAAATAAATAAAGTCTTTTTATTTTAGTAAAGATTTTACGTCTTTTTTTTTACTTGTCAGATGTTATGGGATTTTTTTTTCTTAAACTAATTTTATGGGATATAAGATAAATAAATAAAATAATTAAATAAAATTCTGGAGAGAAATAGCAATGCATTAATTACGTTGACTTTTCAATCTACTAAATTTGGTAAATAGAATACCTTATATAATAAGTATAGATATACAAATAAATAACATGCCAAAATTTTAAAGAATATTTAATGTATTTAAATTTATTATCTAGCCATCAGTAATATCATTTAATGATGTGATCATTATCTCTTAAATGATAAATATAATATTAATTTAAAAAAATATATTTGTTTTTTATATACTCAAATAAAAATTAATAAATACAATCGTCAAATATGAATTATAATATATATAAGTAAAATTATTGCAAAAGTTAATAAAATTATTTAAGGAAAGAATCTGTTTGATCATATTTGAATAGGAAATGTGTATCTGCAAACAATTAATGCACATAGTAAAAAGTTTCTAAATAAAGTATGCATTAAATGTGAGTTGACTTTTCTTCCTACTATTTTTAGTAAATAGTATGACTTTTAATATAAGTATAGATATAGATAAATATCAATTATCCTTCCGCAATTACGATGGCCACGACCACATCACCAAAACTGATCTATTAGCACAAGTTCAAACAGTTTGGGGACAGACACACAACAAAGAGAGATGGCTTCTCATCTCTCTTCCCTTACATCCTCAGCTCTTTCAGGTTCCGTTGTGCATCATTCTAAACCTCCCTCAAACCGCTGTAAGTGTCTGCCATCTTCAAATGCTCTTGGCTTTATTTCAGCTGTTATAGAGTGTAAAAAAGGAATATTTTCAGCTTCCATGTGAACTGATGTGAATTATTATCTGGTTAATTCTCTTTTTTTTTTTCCTTTATTGTGATTGGTTGTGTTTTCTTTCTATTATTTCTCAATGGTTTGTTTCTGCCTAAATAGTGTAGATGATGTATTCTGATACTAAATTGGATTGCCAGATTAAAACATGTGGTTCTATCTTGTCTGTAGTCAAATCTTTGTTTTCAGCCTGGTGCTTTTCATGGCATCAAGAAATGATAATGTGTAACCGAGACAATTGTCTTTGAAAATCGTGAGAGATATGGCTAAACTCTAATATATCTTCCCAAATTATATCTCTATATCACGCAGATGTGTTCTATTACATTTCTTATATTGGTGATCATTTTTGTAATAAGCTTTTGCTTTGTCGAATCGACAATGTACAATTCCTGATGTCTATTTGACGGCCATTGATGAGGTTATAGCATATTTGATTTATTTTTGTTATGTTATGCCGGATTGTACGATTGCTGAGTGAAATTGAAGTACTGTAAACAGTGACAACTTTTGAAATTAATATTTCTTGTATTGGTATGTCATTAAAAAAAAAAAAAATAAATTGACGTGACTGCTTTCTGGATTTAAGTAGCTGCTGTTAGTCATGCCAAACGTGGACTTTTCAATTTCTGAACTTTTCACTATTATGTAGATGCCAAGTTGAAGCCAGTTCGATCACAAATAAGTTCCAATTTGGAGGATGAGACATGCTCACTTGGTAGTTTTGATCAATCACGAGAACCCATCAAGACAGAGGTCTGTATGTCTTCAAAACTTCCAATCTGTTACCTGTCATTGATTGTTAGTGCTATCGTAAATGCACACCTCTAAGCTTTACTGTGTAGCTTCGATTGTATTTTGAAAACCTTCGATGGTATTACTAATCATTGTTTTTGTATGTTAATCCTTTCCAAGAAAAACCTGGAAAACAAGTACAATTAACCCTTAAACGAAACATGGAGCCAAATCTTAATGTCAATCTTGTATTTATTGAACCGTAAAATGCTTTTCTGTAATCAGCCCAAACCTCATGGATGTTTCTTGTAAGTATCCAACTTTAAACTATTTGGAAGCATGTCATAGTTAAGTCTTCTAACTTCTTTCTCTGTCTTCAACATAATAGCTCGCCATTATTCATGGAAAATTAGCTCCATAACTTACCTGTTTTCATTTCAAGTTAAGTCTACTTTGTTCCTTGAAACAGACTTCCCATATTGCAACCTCTCGTCGTCGGTGTCTGACCTGTTTATGTTCAACTATGGCATTGATAGTAGCTCCAAGGTTTTCTGATTCCGATTCCAAGGCAAATGCTTTGGATGGCAATGAAAACCCCGTGTGCCGTAATTGTGGGGGAAGTGGCGCAATAATCTGTAAGTCTAGATAAGTTCTTTTCACTTGCAGTGGTCATTGTCACGCGTGAAAAACCTCTCAAGAATTGACTTTGTAATGAAGATGCTCCAGTTATTTTTAAAAACACAAGTACACCATAAAAGAGAAAATATTGAGGGGGTATATATTGTATTGGAAGCAACTGTCTTTTTTTCCCCTGGTAGTAACTATGTTTTTTTTTTTTTTTTTTTTTTTTTTTTTTTTTTGGGTAATGAATCTAATGCTTTACTGAGGATGGAGTAGGACTTACATGAAATTGTAGCTTAGAAATGCAAGTGAAGTTGATAAATTATAAATTCTTACTCTAATTGGTGAACGTACGGTATTGGCTGATGGCCTTTTTGTTCTTGAAATTTTGGCGATCTACATTTAAATCCTGCACAAATTCGCTAACCTTGTATACCCCATGAGATGTTGATTTGCTTTTTTATTTAGGTGATATGTGTGGTGGTACAGGAAAATGGAAAGCTCTAAACAGAAAACGTGCAAAAGATGTTTATGAGTTCACAGAATGCCCAAACTGTTATGGTAATGACCGAACTCCTTATTCTTAGTGGCTTCGTGCTAAAAGAATTATAACTATCATGCTATTTTATTCCACTTCTGTCAATGTTGACGCTGCATGGCTATGGATTCTTTTTACCTCTCGTAATAGGCCTACGTTTTTTCTTTTCAACACCCTGAAATGAGGATAAAATCTTGCAATTTTTCACATCACCATGCTCGATCTTATTTCAGTTTGAGTTTTATTTCCTTTGTATTCCCACTCTTTTCTCATTTCTTTATTCTATGTATAAATTCTTCAATTGTAACTAGAGTTTTAGGCATCGAATATTTGGTACTTTCATTGTGCAGGTCGAGGGAAATTAGTATGTCCTGTATGCTTAGGGACAGGTTTACCAAACAACAAAGGCCTTCTTAGGAGGCCAGACGCACGACAGTTGCTCGATAAGATGTATAATGGCCGTTTGCTACCGAGTTCTTAGGTATGTTGATAAGTTCCAATGGTGTGCATGTCCCAAGTAAACAGGGATACTTTCTAAGCTTTTTATGTATGGTTGTGTAATAAGTATGCTTGTGTAGTGTCTAATTTTTTTATTTTTTTTATTATTTTTTTTTTTAATCATTTACTAGATTTGTTAATTCTCGTGGAATGTAGAGGCTATTTGATCTTGTTTTCTACTTCAGATTCGTTGTGATGATGTATAAAAAATTAAAAAAAAAAAAAAAAAACGAAATACAGCTCCATCATTGCTTGCAGTTACAGTTGAGAGTGGTTTATCTAAAATGATCAAGGTAGCTACTAGTGGATGTGTGAGGGTTAATTTGATCAAGGTAGCTTGCTCGACGATTATCTTGCTACTCGTAAAGTCTAGATCTTTCCTCCATGTTTACCACACAGCGGTCTGCTTGGATTTTGTATTTTGGCCTAAATTCCTTGCCCCTCGATACTCAATCAAATCCTTTTTTTTTTTTTAGGATTGAATTACCCCCTTTTCTATTTCTGCAACTAGGATTTGATTTGTATCAACTAAAATAAAAGGGCTTGAACCATTATGGCGTAAATCTCTCCTCCACAGGTCAATCAAATATATTATTTGTAGGTCTTTCACATACAAGACTCATATGTACACCAAATCCATCTATCAACAGGTCTAACTATGCTATCCAATTCATATCTATTCTTCTGTGAAGTCCTTGTAGGTCTCTTAGGTACATCACCAGTAGGTCCATCAATTTTATTACCTAAGATACATTACAA